TTTATGGATGGCATTCTCCTCAGACTCCAAATCTAATGCGAGCGGGCAAACAAAACATTCTCAAATGTTGACTCAATAATTGTACAAATGGTTTTGATTCAGTGAGAACATTACATATACACAGCCAACATCACATATCACTGCATCAAAGTAAGAAGAAAATTGAATCAGAGCCTTTTCTTGTCTCTAATTATCTGCCATTCACATTCTGGCGTGACAACAGACATCTTTGCCCATTTTTGGCATGTTGACCACTGTCAGTGAGTAACAAAATGTCTTGTTTTTTTTCGAAATCAGGCGAAGATTAATACGCGCGTTGATTTCATCCATACAAAATACTTGCTGTGGCCTTAAGTACAAATGCACGGGTTAACGTACAATTCTGTAGCCTAGTATCCAGTCTTATCGTGGTTGGGAAGGGCTGCAAGAGCTCTTCCCCGCCCGCATCTCTCTTGGCGTAACACTCCTACCGGGCGGCCTGTTGGTATACTAGGCGGGAGGAAACTATTCCCAGCACCGAAGACACAGCCTGCCCAAACTACCATTCCCCAACCACGATAAGCCAGGATACCAGGCTTACAATTCCGGGACTGTACATGAACAGGTTTATTTAGTAAACCAACCGTAACTTATTCAAATAAGTACTAACAAGGTACATGCTAACTTATGATATCACGTCGGTATCATCAATTTGCTTCTATTGGCCCAAGATATCAACGAATGCGCCACAAACAACGGAGGGTGTGAGCACTTCTGCAGAAATGTGCCAGGCGGCCGGGCGTGCAGCTGCAGGAATAATCACCGCCTAGTTGATGGGCACGTGTGTCGAGGTAGGACGCCGTTTCCCAAAGTCCCGAATTCCCATACCTTTCAGTTAAGATTATTACTTTCACCAAGAAGGTCATGTTTTCAGTAGCGTTTGTCTGTTTGTTTATTTGTCTGTCTGTGAACAGCATAACCCAAGTTGTTTTTTTATGCATTGTCATGAAACTTAGTAGGTAGATAGGTCTTGATGAGACCTAGAAATGATCAGATTTTGGGGCCATTGGCGGTTTTTGTTGGTACTGTAGCAGAACTTCCAGTTTTGATATCTCAAGATCTGGACATTCCAGGGTTACGAATTTTGGATGGTAGATAGCTCTTGGGCGACGGAAGAAATGACATGAGTTTGGGCCTTTTCCTGGAACTTCAGGAGTGTTTGTTAAAAAAATCTTCGAAAGAGAATAACTCAAGAACCGGTTGACCGATTGTCGTGATTTTTGATATGTAGTACTTCATTGTTATGTTCACCATAAAAGATAAAATGAACTGACCATTCTGATACTTTTTATATTATACTACATGGAGGTATTCATACTGCACCGTTGCAACACATAAAAGCGCGGAGCAAGGAAACCTCAACGAAAAAACAACGGTTACCCCAGAATATTCTTATGAACACCAAAGAAACTAACATGTCAGCTGTGGTAAGACTGAAGTCCTGTGCTGCTTTTGAAGAAGCCTATAAGCATAGTCTATCTACAAGTTTGCAAGCGATAACTAGCAAGATCTACTCCAACATGACAGCTTTAAACTGACTATCTTTTGACGCTAAAATTCTGCATGTTTTCAGGAAGGGACAGAGGCTCAAATAGATATTTCTGCGCAAGGAAACCTCGACCAAATAAACAACTAAAAATTCCCTTTACTACCTGCGATAGGACGTGAGCATCATTTTTTTGGTAAGGAATGTGGGCTACTTTCAAAAACCTAAAATTTTACCACTGATAACAGCATTCTCTAGCTACTCCAACATGACATCATAGAACTGTATTTTACCGACAGATGATGACATGTATCCGTACCGGGAGGAGGCTGGTGAGACGCCCCGTCGGTGGGACTTCTCAACCTGCACCGAAGAGTCTCTGCCGCAAGAGGGCTTCCGTTTCTTCGGACGGCGTCACCACGAGATACACGTGAGCTTGCGGCTTGCTTGTGATGGATTCACAAGATGCAGATTAAGAAACATTAATGTTATACCCTAAAGAAGACAATTATGGGGCATTGGTTAAAAGCAATCCTGCGATGAAGTTAAGGCCACAGCAAGTAAATTTTATAGATGACATCCTCGGCAGGTTCAAAAATCT